ATTTAACTTTATAATGCTATAACTTATTGAAAAGTTTATGGATCCACACAATTTTTTTATGAGAAATAATATTTTTTTAATAAACCCTTTTTCATTCGACATACTTTGTCTTAATCGAGATATTAATAAGGAACCAGCAGATCAAGTAGCTTTTGGAATAAAACACCATTTTTTTTTNTAGCTTTTGGAATAAAACACCAATTTTTTTAAAATTAAACACTATCTAAAGATTTGCATCGAAGCGTTTATTTTTGATAGTGATTTTAATCACTGTCAGATATCATTATACTTGATCCAACTTGATCNAAATAATAATTAAAAGAAAAAAAAATTTGTTTTCAAATTATTACTGATTTGATTTTTAATATGTTAAAAATAATCAGTCCAAATTTTCATTTTTAACCTATTTTTTTGGTTCTTTAAAGTTGATGAAAAATTTTTGATAAATATGTATCTTCTACGCTCACATCAGCTGTCCTCATGTCGCATTCAATAACATCCCTCAATCTCCTTTTTGGTCTTCCTCTACCTCTTTTTCCTTCAAAATTCATTTCTGTAATTGTTCTTACAGCTTCCAATTCGTCTCTCCTCATANAAATATTTCACCAATTTCTCTAAAGGAAACACTATCTACAGATTTGCATCGAAGCGTTTCTTATGATAGTGATTTTAATCACTGTCAGATATCATCTATACTTGTCCCATCTATGCCTCGTCCACACTGTGCCTCGACCCTACTGTGCTACCGTTTTTAAATCAATTTTAACCGTGTTTAGAAATTCGAAATAAAAAAAAATTGTCTATTACAGCCATTTTTTTTTCTTACTTGACTCGATTTGTTAAGTTTTTTTCACGTTTATAGCAATTGTCTATCGCTTTTAGTCGATATTATCGACTTTTAAAGTGACGCAATAGACGCAATGTTTTATTTCGAACTTTTTAGAGGGGCATAAACAATCTAGTGAAGTAAAAAAGCCCGGGGGAAAACACTATTCAGAAAAAAGACCATCACCACAATTTCTTTTTTAACGGTTTATTGAACGTGTACAGTAAAAAATAAAAAATAATTTTCATTTGGTACAATAATATGATTTATAAAAATAAAAACAAAATAATACATTTATCGTATAAAACGAATATTATATACAGCGTTTAATTTATTTATCTTAATGNTTTTTTTTTTTTTTTTTTCTTGATTAAAAATTGAAACTTACTTAAATAGATTTTACATATTTCGTATCAAGCGATTTTTAGGCGTCGTTTGATAAAGAGTATTTTATTTATAAAAAATAAATCGATACACACACACGTGTATGTTACTAGGAAAAATAATATACGCGCATGCAGAGGAAGTTGTATGGTAATGGGTGCTAGTATTCTGAGCGGCTTTATATATTTATAGAAAGACATATATATATATATATATAAACCAATATAAACTATAGAGTTTTAAAAAAAAGAGAAACATTTTTTTTAGCAAGCAAAACTGAAAGGTTCACGGAGCGGAGCAGAATTGAGTTTCTCGGGCGACAAAATTTCTAAATTTGGCCAACTGAGCGTAGACACGTACTTTCCGTAAACATTACAAATAAAAAAAAAATCGTGGCAATCTTAATAATATTTTTACATATACTTGTATGTATATTATTCACTAATTATGCCTCACGATTTTTCTTTAAAAATATTAGTTTTATCATATATGTAATCAGTTTATTTGTTATAAATCATTGTTGAACTACTCGACAAGAAATATAAAGATTTAATTTTCATCCATTAACCCTTAAATCAATATCAACTTTGTTTTTCAAATGGCAACCTAGTTTTTTTTATATTAATCTTATTTAGCAAAAAAAATCAATTTTAATAAATTCTAAACGAGATATTGCTGTTTAAAGTTTTATTTTAAATATTTTACAAATAAAACAAGTATTTGGGTAAATACAGTAACATTACTA